TTTTGCAAATGCAAAAGTAAATTTCTCGTTATATTTAAAATAAAATAAAAATACTACTCATTTTCTTTTTACCAATACTGAACAAAAATAAAATTGGGAAAAAAAAAAAAAAAAAAAAAAAGTGATATGCTTGAGTGTCGGTTTGGCGCTTCTGGTAACTGTTGAATGTCAGGTCAGTTAAAAAACTGCAACTTTTATTATTATGAAAAATTAATTGCAAAATAAAAAGGTTGAGTAACGTTGGATTTTTCCAATAATATTGCTAATAATTCGTATGTGTTAACAAATTAACATAATGACAATCATTTAATAAATACAAAATCTCAATAATAATTTTCTTATGTCTGTCGGATTAATTATCTGTCATTATTATGTTATGAATTAATAGCAGATTAAGAAGTCTTTTACTAAGTTTTAAGTTTTAATTGGGAGGTAGGAAGGGGGTTTGGAATTGCATTTTCTTACGTGCGGATAAAGTTATTTCTCAAATAATGATTTGTTGTATCGAACTAGTTCAATTATGTCAGCTACTCTCTCCGTTCCATTTTAATTGTCGTTTTTTAGTTTTGCACAAAGATTAAGAATTTTATTAAATGTGTCTTTATTTTAGGAAAATGTATGTTTTTAGATTAAAATGATTGTCTTATAATTAATAAGAAAGAGAAAGTAGATGAAAAAAAAGAGTATTGGAAAGAGTTAATAAAGATATAAATTGAAAATTAAGTAATTAATGAAGGTTTGAAAATTTAAAGTGCCAGATAATATGGTACAAAAAAATTCTCCAAAGCGACAAATATTATGGAACGAAGGAAGTAATTAATAAAATGTTCGGTTCTAATGTGTTATATTTATTAGCAGAAATCTAAAAAATTGATTTCAAATATAATTTTTCAATAATGTCCTTAATTAATAACTGTATTATGATTTTTTATCACTTGAGGGGTAAAATCATCATTTTTTTCTAATAACAACTTGGACAGCTTATCTTAGCGGCACAGTAACTACTAATTTTGTTAACGGTAATATTCGGGAAATTCTATGCTACATCAGATTATTAATACTATTAATACTGTATAGTACATCTACACATAATCACATATACACACCCATGTGTAGGTGTGATTAGTGAGTTATTTAACTTTATTTACAATTAACAAACACCCAATATAAATAACTGTATGTATCATGTAACTTCCCGTATAACTTAGTTGTTGATTTAAGTTTTTATGGAAGTAGCCTATTAATCTATTAGTAAGAGAAAAAAAAACCATTTTTGTTGGGTAGTAGAATACTATTTTTGATATTCCCATTATTCTATTTTCATCCACACGTTAAGCATAATTGGATGTAATTAATTCGGGCAATTTTCATGGGCCAAAGGTGCCTTTCGTACAATACCAACTCAAACCAACATCATAGGCAACAAGAAAGACTATAATAAATAAATTTAATAAATAAATAAATAAAGTTAGTATGAAGAGACTGTTAGTTACAAGTTCTTTCAAAATCAGCCATAGATCCGTAAAATAATTTGGAACAACAGGAAATAGATAAAACCGTATTGAATAAGAACGGCTCAGTTCCCTTTTCCAGTGTTCATACAGTCGATCCAAGGTTTGGTGGTAACACCAACTGAAAACAAGCACCAAACAACAGCCACTGATCCGCAACCCTAGATCTGACCCCAAACCTCACTCTGAGTTGACTCACCAACACATGCACAGTCAACTCAGTAGATAACTCACCCTCTCCACTCAGCACAAACCCAGATTTCTGCACTCAAAGTACCGAAACCCTCACAGAAGAGGATTAAGGCCAGAAAAGTTTCGGTTTGAATAAAAAGTGAATCACACTTGTCTCTCTCTCACCACAGTATAAATACACGGAGTTTCAACGGTCTTCAGCATTAAATGTGCTGCGACGACAAGGAAACCCATTGTCCGGCTAGACCTGCGACGGTGTCGCCGGAAAACGACAATGAGTGACGAAATACTGTAGAGAGAGAAGGGGACAAGGAGAAGAGAGAGAAACGGCGCAACAGTGAGAATGCTGCTAGGGTTGAGAAAGAGTAGAAGAATGAGGCAAATGGAGGGCTCAGATTGACACCCTACAATGAACGGTTCAGATTGTAGTTTGACTGGATCAGTGGGCTTTTAGTTGCACTGGGCCCAATTTCACGAGTTGGGCTGTATTTAATTAGGAGATTGACCCAGATCACAAACATATCATTTCTATTGGGCTCAATACTTAACAGAGACTACTATTTAGTTGGAGCAAATAAGTTTGTTTCATTTGATTCGTGTTCAAATTTTCTCGTAAACGATCGTTAGACCGAGCCCTTTTCGGCTAATGCTCTATTGTGATTGGAAACAAATGATAAAGAAAAAAAATAAACAAAAAAATAAAAAAGAGAGAAAATCCGACAAGAATCCGAGTGAAAAATATTGCAAGTGAAGTGGATTGCACGAAACCTTTGGAAGACAACCTCCATGGCTATATGTTCATTCCAGGTGGTCTTAAAAAATCATGATGATTTAAAGACAATAATTTTAAACCCACAATCCAAACATGTCTTTTTGTTCACAACATAATTCTTTTTTTTTTTTTTTTTTTTTTTAAAGGTTTTTCGAATTCTCTCTACACACACATAGCTCAACATTCAATTGAGAAAAATCTAACATTCAACAATTTTTTAGATGGATCCAAATAATATGTACCGGAGGTTATTTTTTTGTTTTTTCTTCTAGAATCTTCAAGTGTTCTGTAAATCTACACGAACACTTGAAGATTTTTTTTTCCGGGAATTCGTACGGCTTCACACGAAGAAGCTTTTTCTTTTTTAATATAATTTTGTTCTTTATTTTAATATTTTGCTAATTACACTTATCTAAAAACATGAAGAAATATATATACATAAATATTGATGAAGAAGATTGGAAAATATTTGACTTACGTGATCACAATCAATAGTTCGTTATTGACACGGGCATTGATAGTAATGATGCACTAGTTAGAGTGGCGACGAACACATGTACCATTGATAGTAATGATGCACTAGTTAGAGTGGCGACAAACACATGTACCATTGGTTAAGGTCATGAATTAGACGTCAGTCATTCCATGAAGGCAGACAACAATTGACGTTAATCATGTACGGTCGATTTCTTTTTTTTTTTTAATTTAAAGTGTAAGGCCCAACTCGAAAGCCCATCCCGACTAATATAAATGTTAATTATTTATATTTTAGTAATTCAGTTCTATTTTGGTATAGAGTTTAATTTCTAGGAAGTAGAAAAAGTCACGAATTTAATGCGGTCCAAAAGTGGACACAATCCAGTGTGGGCCCACTTAGCTTTTCTTTTTAGGGTGTATGAGAACCGTCCGTTTGTGTGTGGAACAAACCCCTTGGATTTAGCAAATGCAAATCAAATCGAATTTATTCGATAACGTTTTAAAATTTGGTTTTATCATCACAACGCAAAATTTGAACATGTTTTTTTTTTTTTTAGTTCAAATAGTAAAAATCTGACAATAAATAAAAACAGTATTTAGCATTTATAAATTCGACTCGATTAGATTCGATTTCAATACACTGCAGTGCTTTAATGCTCGTGAAACGACGCCGTCGAAAGACAGCTGGACTCGACGATAGATAACAAATCCCAACAACGACATGCCGATAGAGACGGTGGGCCCCACTAATTAAAAATAGTCACATCGTACTAGGGGTGCAAGTTGGAACAGATTTTCCAATTTCCGCCAGTTTCGATCCAAAAAGTTCCGATTTTTGAACAACTTTTTTCATTCCGACTTCCGAAATTTCGATTTCCGAAATTTTCCGAATTTTTTGGATTGGAATTGGAATTATCTAAAATAAATTTGGAATTTCCGATTTCCGATCCGATTTAATTTCGAAATTAATTCCGAAAAATTCCGATTTTTTTTCAAAAAAATACACCTATAAATGGTATATATTATATAATACTTATTTTCCGAAAAATACACGTATAAGTTTTGTTTTAGGATTTTGAGATAATGAATTGGTGTTAGAAGTTTTATTGGATATTATGCAGTGTTTATTTTTATTTATTTTTTTGAACTGAAATTTAGTAGATATTAGTTTTACTTTTATCGACGTGGATGCTATTATTTTCGAAAAATTATGAACATTTTAGAAAAAATTCGGCTAAATTTTGAAATTTTAAAGCTTATGTGATTTCCGATTTTTTTCCGAAATTCCGAAATTTCCAGGCCTTTTGGAATTGGAATGAATTTTTAGATTCCGAAAATTTTGGAATTGAAGTTGGAATTGATTTTGTACTTCCAAATTTTTTTGGAAATTTTCCAAAAAGGCTAATTCCGATCTGATCCATTCGACTTTTACCCCTATCTCGTACAAATGAGATTTGATTTTTTTGTATTGAATATTATTTGTATAATAGTTTCGGGCCGGGTCATCTTTTTTCAAAGTATTGGGCCGTGGGCCTGGACACAGTTCTCTAAATATGTCCTTTTATTCAGACACAGGTCTCCCCATATCCCAACAAAGCCTACACCTTTTGCATTCTGACACCTCCTTTTCCTTTTTCATGCTTTTTAACCCCAGATAACTTTTTTTTTTTTATGTGAATTGAAAGTCCACTTATACCCGCAGTAAAAAAAAAAATTAACATTTGTGTAAAAGTTCAGTTTTCATCTCTCAAGTTTGCACAAATTATACATTTGGCCGCTGATGTTCATAAAAATACATTTATTACCTCATACTTTAAAAGTTCAACATTTTTAGTCCCGTAATCAAGCGTGTGTCCGTCAGCTACTTACTTAACTAAAGGACGAATGATAAATTGAGGTAAATGACCAAAAAATGTTAGATTATTGAAACATGAAGGATCAAATGTACGTTTTTAAAACATGAGGGATCAAATATCTAATCAATGAAAACTTAAGGGGTAAAAATGAAATTATGTTTAACATTTTAATATCAAACAAATTTACAGTGTTTCAGTACAGCGAATGAGTCTTCTGGCTCTGTAAAACAAAAATGGCAGAGTTAGTGTCAGGTTTAATTTCTTAGCATTGTTCAGTTCTTGTTACATTAACACACACCCTCTCCCACTCTCTGTTTCATCTCAATCTTCTCTCTCTCAAGATGATGATGAATGTGTTTTGGTTGCTTTCTCTCTCCTCCATTCTTCTCTCCTCAACTGGTAATTATCAAATAATACATTACAAACATTTTATGTTGTATTAATTAATAAATAAATAAATAAATAATTAATGTAGTTCCCCTTGTTCTGTGCAGCAGCTAAAGGTCAAGAAGAATCAGTGGAATTTTTAACTCTCCAAGAATATTCATCTGAGGTTATCAATGGCGTCCGTACCTCTGTGGCTGTTCAAATGGAAACTGAATACCTCAAGAATGTCTCGACAACTGTTCTAATGGCGGAAGCTTGGCTGAGAAACTCTGTTCTTGCACACTATCCCGGTAATAATATTACCACTATCGTTGTCGGCCGCTCTGTTTTATGCAACAGAGATGAAGATGAAGAAGAGTACATGGTTGGTTCGGTTTTGCCGGCGGTAAAGAACACACACTATTCTCTCACTAGGTGGGGTTTGGAGAGAGAGATTAAAGTCTCTGCTTCTTTTTCTTCCGACTGTTTGGTTCACTCGAGGGGTGGAGCTTTTTACAGAGCTCCAATGGCGGAACCTTACATCAAACCCTTGCTCGCTTTCTTGAAAGAAATGGGCTCGACGTACGTCGTGGATGCACGTTTGCAGACTTCGTCGGTGGAAGAAACATTGGGTTTGGTGAAAACCCACCTCAAATCCATGGAGAATCTTGGAGTTTCTCGTCTGAAAACTGTGAGTGTAATCGCCGGCGGCGGCGGTCGGAGAAAGCTTTCGGTTATTGATTTAACTACTGTAGCTCCTGTTTCTTCCAAACCGGCTTTTCCCAACGGAAGTCCTCTGCCGCCGTTGGTTGGAATAATTTCACCCACGCCAAACTTTCTACCTACAGCTCCGCCGCCGTCTCCGCCGTCTCCGGCGGAGAATCCTACGAGTCCTCCGTTTCTACCAGTGATGGCTCCGGTGGCTAGCCCTCCATACGGTCCCCATTTGCCGCCGCCGTGCGAGCCATCTCACGGCGGTGGCGGTGGCGGTGGTGGGTACGGCGGCGCGCCGGTGGGTGGGGTGAAGAAGGGGCTGTGGTGCGTGGCGAAGCCGACGGTGCCGGCGGAGACGTTGCAGGAGGCGCTGGATTACGCCTGCGGAGAAGGCGGCGGTGACTGTGGGGCGATCGTGCACGGCGGCAGCTGCTACTTCCCGGCTATGATGCACGGACACGGATACGTGGACACGGCGATACGCGGATACGGACACGGTGATACGGCATTTCCAAAAAACTAGGATACGGACACGTGGGGGATACACGTAAATATAAAAAATATAGGGGTATATTTATAAATAATAAAAATATAGGGGTACATTTATAAATTGTAAAAAATATGAATAAGTCGTCATCGCATAAGAGAACCGCTCACCCTTGTTGCTCGTGTTCTTGGTCGCCGTCGCATGCTAGACTTTTGGAGTTTTGGGTGGACTCACAAATAAATCAGAGGAAATGTGTAATACAAAGAATAGAAAATGTGCATTTTTTTTATTAGGGCTATCTTAAAACGTAAGAGAAGTATCCCAACTTTTTTAAAATTGTGGACACTGCCTGACACGGGTGTCCTACTTTTAGCGAAATTACGACACAGTCCGACACGGGTGTCCGAGAAGTGTCCGGGTGTATCCGAGTGTCCAGGTGTCGGATACGGGGACTCTTCACCTTTTATAAGTGTCCGTGCAGCATAGCTTCCCGGACACGGTGGTGGCGCACGCCTCTTATGCTTTTAATAATTACTGGCAGAAGACGAAGAACAACGGCGGCACTTGTGGCTTCGGCGGAACTGCCATGCTCATCAACTCCGATCCCAGTAAGATTATTTCTTTATTTCTTTATTTATTTACTGATTTTTAATTATATTTTGTTTATTCAATATGGATGACGTGGAATTTTAATATATTTATTTAATTATTTATTAAATTTTTGGTGCAGGTTATCGTCATTGCAGATTCATTCTTACCTAGTGAAAGAATTAGGACAATCATTTTGAAATATCCTTTTCTTTCATCCACTTCTGTCTTCTGTTAATTAAGATTTAATATATTTTCTCTATTGGATTTTTGTTATTTTTGTGCTTTATTTATCTACAAATTTGTGTGCTGTCTTATTTCTGTCTTTGAATAACGTGAAAGTGCTGAGGAAAAAAAAAAAAAAAAAAATCTAATATAGTGAATGTTACTGTATTGTTCAAAAAGAAAAAAACCAAAAAAAGTATAAAGAAAAAAAAAGAAACGAAATAATTATTGAACAAAGTTCGAATAAAAGTATGGGCAAATTAGGCCACCGTTGAGTTATGGTTAAATTACGAAAAATTTCATCTTATTTCGGTAATTATTGTTATACAATTTAACTATGTATTACGAAAATACTCCTCCATAGGTAAATTTAGGCATGTAAAATCGGTAAAAAGAAACTAAAATTTCAGTACGCCAATATTTCATACTATTTACCGAACTAAATATATGATTTCGTTCGGTAAATAACCGAATTACATAAATTTTATGTAAAAATATTTAAAAGGAGGGGTGGCTGTAATTTCCCAAACAAGAAGGGTTTTTCTCATAATTTGTCCATATCTTAGGGAGTTGACCGTAATTTGCCCTAAAATTAATGATTTTTTTTTGGGAGGGAATAAAATTATTGATGAAGCAGATAAAATGGTGGAAAAAGAAGAAGATGGTATCTGAGAGAAGAAATGGGCTGAGTTTTGAAATTTAATTACTGGACATTGGCCCATATCAAACCAAAGTCCAAATACAAACTGGACCCTATATAATTCTAACATAATTAGTTTGAGCTTCAACTATATATTCGATGATATGTGATTTTGAGCTTCGTATTCTGAAGTTTGAGTTTAAACTTATCAAAGTTCGACTCACATGACTCGGTTGACATTGTGACCTATGATCGAGTTTCTAACTTGGATCCAACTGGCCTACAGTTTGCCTATGTGTGGATTAAAATCTTTTCAACCTCTTCAATTGAAGAGTCGATAAGGTACAATATGGTTTTCTGTATGTTCCGAATCACCATCACATAAAAATATGGCCGATCACGCACTGTGGTCATCCGTAGTTAGCTGGTTTCGTAGATGCTACTCCAGTCTTCGTATGAATACCACCAAGTGATGGCATATCGAATTTTTATTCGGTCACACGCATAAATACGTTGAGTCGTGATGTATAAAATGTGCATTAAATATAGCGTATAATTGATATTACAATTCTATATTTTTTTTTTTTTATAATAAAGGAACCTACGAACAATCATATAAGTGCATTAAATTATATAAGATGCGTAAACCACATTAGACAAACTTCGTGTGACAAACTCGATCTAAGGACCCTTAGCAAATGGTTCAAATCTGAATAAAATGACACGACTCACTTGCTCCAACCGCCTTCCTGACAAACTAATTCATTAGATTAAACCTAGTGAATCGGGCACATAATTAAATAAGAAATCAATATTGTACCACAATTTCCTGCCCCCTAAACAACCTATTAAGCTAATTATTGGTTAAAGTCAACCCAAAAGCAATAGACTTTTTTTAAAGACTTAAAACTTTCCGACCACATTACTAGTAAATCTTTATTATTAGTTTTCTTAAATAATAATATTTAATTTTCTAATTAAGGTACCTTGTTGTAGATTCTTTTTTCAGATGCATCCAATTTTTATTCACTCTTTGACTAAGTCGAATTAGGCTATGTTTGGCAACAAGTTTAGTGTACGATTCACCCAATCCACAGTCAAAGTCAAAACTTTCCCTAAACCCCAATTATTAAGGTGGAAGTGGGGCTGCGATAAACTTAACGTCTTTAAGGTCTATTCTATGCTACACCCGGTGAACTTTACCGGATGTCTTAAGATTTTGACATGTGGCATTTAATAATTAAGTAGTTAATTATGTAACTTTAATTATAGGAAAATAAATAAATTAATAGAATCACTTTATTATAGGCAATTATGATTTTCTCTCTCCAATTCTTTCCTTATTCTTCAATTACACATTCGTTAACCATCTTCCACCATTATAATGCATTTCTCCATTATTTGTTTAGATTATGTAACAGTGGCTTCCCAACCCAAATGACGAAATTAAAATGATACTGATAATGCAAATTTTACAATTAAATTAACATAAGCATAAGTGGAAAACCATTTTTGGATAAATTAATGTCTGTTTTTATTTTTTATTTTTGAGTGATCTACAAGCATACCAATATTTGACTCGGAAGTAGAAATTTATCAAAGTCAGATTTCACAAATAAGAGCCAAGATCTTATTTTCCAGTGCAATTTATCGTGAAAGAACTTAATAAAAATTAAAATAGTGAAGAAGTGCAGTAATGATAGAACACAGTTAATGGAGGGGTAAATTTTTTTTTTTTTCCTGAATCGAAAAATGGAGAGGTAATTTATAACAAAGAAATAATTGGAGAGAGAAAATCTTATTAACTATATTAAAGCGATTTTATTGATTTAATTTTTTTGCTAACAATTAAATTTTATATAATTAACCATTTATATTATTTAATGCCACATGTCAAAATCTTAAATACCCGGTGAAGTTCACCGGGTGTAGCATAGAATAGACCCATGTTTAAAGAGTTAATAATCATTACCTTTTTTGATTAATTATTAATTAATAGCTCATGTTGTCAATAATGCAGTTCATTTGCAGAAATTAGGCAAAAATTAGCACTAAAATTCAGTTTATAAAGTCTAAGCACACTGCTCAATGCATCTATCTTATTCACCTAGTCGGATTAAATATGCATTTTCACACATTACACACTCTATAAATAATTAATACAGTTGAAACTAACGAAATTCTATGTATTTATTTATCGAAATATTAAATTATTGAACTAATAATTTTGTACTTTTTATTACCGTTTCTGGAACAAAAATAATAATTATTTAAGCGAGTTTATCAGTTTATCAAAATTTTATTTTTATTTGTAATGTGTTGCTCTATAATTTCACTGAGTTGATGATATTTATGCTAAGAAAAATGTAGCATACAATAAAATTACAAATATTCAATTGACTAAACTAATATTTTGGCATAATGATAATTACTATTGCTCAATGAATTACTTAAATATTTATTAATATATATTTATTCTTTTTTTTCTTGGATGGATTAAGTGATTAATGAGGATAAAAAATGGTGTGGTCTATTTGCAGGTCAAAATGAACAGGATTTCTTGAATTCTGACCAGTCAACAGTAAGCCTCACAGAAGAAACTGAGCAAGAGCTTATAAAATCAATTTATACAAAAAGGAAAAGGAGAGAGGGATATTAATTCCCTTTACAACATATATATATATATATATATATATATATATATATATATATATTAACTACTAAACAACAAAAGTTATTACTCCATTTAATTTCCTTTTTTTTTTTATTTTCTAAAAATAGATTCCTTATGAAACCTAAAAACAAGGTAGTAAAAGTTAGAACTCTCTGGGATCAACAAAAATAGAGAGGCCAGGTGGCGACTTTGTCCAGTCACCCACACACCCGTCACTGTACTCTTCCCCTAACCGCTTAATGCACCACAGATCCTCCGCGCACGATAGCCTCTCCCAGTGTGGGATCCCTAACCTCAGCGGGTCTCGCCCCGCCACCTCCGCCGCCACCACTCCGCAACCGTGCTCCTTCGCTAGGTTGTGCGCCACCCCACACAGTGACCTCACCATCCTCGCCGCCTTCGGCCCTTCACCGCCTATCCCGTACAGGAAGTGGAACCCGAACGGCCGGAAAACCTCCGGCACCGACGGCAGGCGGAGCCACGGCAGTGCCCGGTCCACCGCGCGCGTGGTCCTCGCCAGGGCCCTCCTCACGCGCGACGCGCCGCGGACCTCGAGCGTGTACACGTCCTTGCTGTTCCACACGCTGAGCACGGCCCACGACTCGGGCTGACTCGCCAGAAACTCGTCCGCGCCCGGCCACGACCCGGCGGCGGCGGCGTAGGGTGACCCCTTCGGCACGGCGAGGAAAGTGCCCAGGTTCAGCTTGTTTTTCAGCACGGCGTCGATGTCGCGGGGGAAGAACTCCGTGGCGGAGAAGCGGCGGCGGTAGAGGGCCTCCGCGTCGGCGGCGGCGAGTTTGATGACGGCGACCCGCTTGTCGGACTTGACCCGGTGCTCGAAAACGGGCTGAACCAGAATGGACGGAGTACGGAACTTGGAGTAGCCGCATTTGTGAGTGAAGAGTTCGACGGAAGCTAGGTTGTCGTTTTCAGTAGCCATGTATGAATACTCGGCGCCATTTTCTCCACACCATTTCTCCATCCCACGCACCAGCTTCATCCCAATTCCCATTCTCCTGCAATACGACAAATATTATATAAATTAAAAAAACAAACCCTTTTTTCTTTTTTCAAGAAGGACAAAATTGTCCCTACACTTAAATAGAAGGTTTAAGAATAAGAAATGAGAAATTACAGTTTTCACCCCTCAAGTTTGCATTTATTCTATATTTAGCTCCTCATGTTCATAAAAAAACACATTTGGTCACTCATATTTCAATATATTAATAAGTTTTCATCATTTCCGTCAATCTACCGTTACTCCTTCAGTTAAGATAGTGGTGGCTACATTAACATAAACTTAACAGAAGAGACTAAAAATATTAACTTTTTCAAACATAACGGACTGAATATAAATTTTATATATATCGGTGACCAAATGTAAAATTGTAATCTTATTTTTCCCTAAGAGAAATATACATAGTTCAAAACGATAAATAGTAACACAATTACCAAATGTAATACTATTATAGCAAAAGAATTACTATATTAAATTTAGTTATTAAATAAAGGAAAATAAATAAAAATATTATTAATAATAAATAATTAAAAAATGATAATAATAATTACCGATGAGAAGGAGAAACACGAAGGCCTAAAATATAGGCGACTTTAGTGTAAATAGGTAGTTTAAAGGGGCAGTTTTTGCTATTTCTGGAGAGTTTCGTTCCGCACGTAACGGTTTTTACGCACCCCCTTATTATCCCCACTATCTCTCTCCTCTCCTTATCTTCTCCGCCGCCCACCACCACCATCTCCGCCACCTTAATTACACACACACACACACACACACTAACACGTCAGCATATAACTAACAAGACATATAATACAAAAATAATTAGCAGAAAAAAAGAATAAATTAATTGTTTTTATACCAGCATGAGATAAGCAGGGGAATGGCGGACCCGGCAAATGGGGTCTCCTAATTGGTCGGTGAAGAGAGAGAGTTCCCCGGTGGGCCCAACCTCACACCTGTTCTCCATTCCTCCACGGCGCCGC